AAACAAAATATTGTCATAAGAAATAGGATTGCTGAAGAGTTCTTAAACTAAGTTCTTTTTTAGACCTGTGAAACTTTTACTGGTAACGTGTTCAGATTCAGAATCCTCCAAATTGGCCTTAATGAATTTCTGTGAGAATTACCCATTCACATAGCTTATCAAGCCTGTTCTAACTCTTCCTAGTATATTGTGTTAACTTTTGTTTGTTTTAATACTTGCAAACATTTATTGAATACTATTTTCCAGGTACCAAGATAAGTGTGTTAACTGCATGCCTTGTTTTGCTACTGATTCATCTTTTTTGTTGTTGTTGAGGTGGAGTTGGCATACAATATTATATTACTTTTAGGTGTACAACATAGTGATTCAACATTCATATACATTAGTGAGTGATTACCATGATAAATCTCACTGTCCTCTGTCACCAAAGTTATTATGATATTAATTTTGTGTCATTGCCTCTTAACTGACAAATCTTTCAGTCAATCATTATTAGACTCATCAACTATGTTATTTTTCTTTGGAATTTCCCAATTATAGCCAAGTAGTCATTTTGCATATTCCCAAAAGTTTCCAAACCTCCTTCATATGTCTATGATATGCCTTCTTTAGCCAGAGTAAGTTTGTTGTTGTTCTTTATTTAAAATAATGAGCTTTTAAAGTCTGTTTTATCCCTTGAAAACCCATCTAGTTGAAATAGTAAATTTCTGTTTTACACTGTAATAATTACATATGAAATATTTTAAAATTTTAATTATAATTTGAGAATGTAAAAGCCTTAATTTTTTAGCTTAGCAAGATAAAAATAAAATTTCTTATGCAAAACCATACATAAATTAATGTCAGTACCTGAGCTACATAAGTTGCTATATTTAGCAGACATTTTCCCTCCCCCTTTTACAAGCTCCTTAGTTTTAACATGGTTAATCTCATCTAATTTCATGTCTTCATGTTCTTCCTCACCATTATAATGTTTGTATTTTTCTATGTAAATATTTAATTCTGGTGAACAGTATTTTAAGCAAAATGTTCACAATTTCCATTTTTGATATTTACTAATAATATATTTAACATTTTATTTTGTTTTTCATATATCCTATTCCTTAGTTAATTTTTAGAAATGGGATTTCTGGATCAAATAATATGAATATTTTAAGGCTAAAATATATTAAAATTATTATCCTAAAGAATTCACATTGTTGCTAGCAATTTAATGCAAATATTTGTTACAACATAACCTTGCTAGCTTTAGTTACTAAATTTTCAGTGCTCTTTACTAAATGTTTGGCAAAGCTAAGTCATTTTAATATTATTACACTCTAGTGAAATTGAACATGCTCTTATATTTATTAAAAATAAGTATTGTTTTGCCATTTTAATGGCTTCTCCATATTATTATGGGCCTTTTTATTATATGTTTAGAATTTTCTTTACACTATACCATATATCCTATATGCCACTAAGTTTATTGCATTTCATTTTGGTAAATATACATTACTTGTACATATGAGTATATAATTTTTTGTTACTCCTGCATCTAGAACTCCCTCTTTTCAAAGTTATTCAATATTCACTTACATTATGTAGTTTTCCTACAGTTTGGCTCATTTTAAATTATTTCACTTTTTAAAACATAAGGAATTTTATTTAGAGGAAGTTGTGAGTTAAATGTTTAACTTATATTTTTTTTTTCCAGAAAGTTAATTGTCCCACATGATTTTTTCGTTAGAGGATTCTGTACAGTAGTAGAACTAAAGAAACATTTAAGACAATTTATAATATTGCATATTGCTTCTTTATAAGTTGTATACTCTCATAGTAAAAATTAAGACAAAAGCATTTACTTGTTCAGAAATTAATGTCTTTGGGATGGTGACAATGTCTTTTTTATCTAAATCTATCAAAGTGATTACTATATAGTAGTCATTCAAAAATGTTTGGTGAATAAGTAGATAAAGACTCAGCAAGATTCTGTATAAATGCATTATGTGTCCTTATTATTGATAAGTTTCTCATCCTTATTTTTAAGGAATTTGTGATTTTACAATTTCATTATACCTTTTAAAGTGTGAACGTTTTAATTAGCATTTGCCTTGAGTAGATTTTGGAGATACATTGTTTCCAGAACGATTTTTTTTAAATTTTATTTCTATTGTGTTAAAATAATATAAAATTTCCCATTTTAGCCATTTTTAAGTGTACGATTTGGTGGCATTAATTGATTCACACTGTTTCTGAAACTTGTCATCACCCCAGGCAGAAACTCTGTTATCATTCAGCAGTAACTGTCATTTTCTCTTCATTACAGAATAGATTTAAAAAACATGATGCAACAACATGCTGTCTGCAAGAGGCTAACTTTAGCTCTAAAGACTCAAGTGGGTTAAAATAAAAACAATGTAAGAAAGTAATCCATACAAATAGTAACTAGAAGAGAGCCAGTGGCTAAATCAGTTTAAGAATAGATTTTCTCAGGGCACCTGGGTGGCTCAGTCAGTTAAGAGTCTGACTCTTGATTTTGGCTCAGGTCATGATCTCGGGGTCATGATCTTAGTTAGGGTCCTGAGATGGAGGTCTGCTTCTCTCCCTCTGCATCTCCTCCTACTCACTCTGTCTCTTTGTCTCTGTCTCTCTCAAACAAATAAGTCTTTAAAAAAAGATTTTATGTTATTGTTATAGGAGACAAAGAAGAGTATTATATATTGATAAAAGGATTAATTCAAAAAGAAAATTTAACAATTATAAACATAGGCAGCAAACATCAGGGCCCCAAAACATTTTAAACATTGAGAGAATTAGAGTATTATGACTTTGTTAAATTAACATTTGTTAAGTAAAGCACAGGGTGCCAGATGGTAAGCCACAGTTCTGCAACAGACCACAAGAAAAAACTGAAATATAGGAGTTTATTACTAGCAGGTCCTGGAGGAAGGGCATGGCATGCCTTGAGGAGCCACATGGGTGGTTAAAGCAGTGAGCGGTACAGACAGTGAGACAGGACCTAGGGTGCATGCCTTTTTAAGGGTCTATGGGTAGAATGCTTGGGGTTCCTGAGCTAAGCTGGACTGGTCAATTCATACTCAAAGAGCAACGTTTTAGTAAGCTGCATGGCGGGCTTATCTAAGTTGTACACAAAGCATATAGACCCTGGGAGATAAGGGATTCTATTGATCAGAAGGGCTGTTGGGGAGTCATATCAGGAACTTACATGTTTGTGACTCTGTGACTTCTATCTAGGGCATGCACTTAAACAAGGGGGCTAATGTGGGTTTAAGGTCCTACAGGCCACTTGGTCAAACTGAATGGATGCTGAGGCAGCAAAACAGCGGCTTTGCTAAACTCTGGACATGCAAGGAGACATAGACAACTCTATAATAATAGTTGGAAGTTTTGATACTCCACCTTCAATAATGGAATGAACAACCAGACAGAAGACCAATAAAGAAATACAGAACCTGAACAAAAGTGTAACTAACTATATCTAACAGACATACACAGAATACTCCACTCAACTGGAACAGAATATACATTTTTTTCAAGTGCACATGGAACACACTCCAGAATAGACCATATATGAGAATGTAAAACAAGTAGTAACAAATTTTAAAAGGTTGAAAACATGCAGAAATATTATTAAATAATTTAATAAATAATAGAATAATGAGAAATATAATTCATATATAAAGTCATTTTTCCAAAATAGCTTTATTTTTCAATGAATTATTGAATCATGTTAAGGCCACCTGATGAAATTTAATAAACACATACAACACACTCCACTATAATAACATATTTTAAGTGGAAACCTCTCAGAAATACACACTGAGATTATTGTCAAAAATGACAGGGTCTTATCTCATTTCTAAAAATCTTTAGCCCACCTAGTTATAAGAAATATATCAGATAAATTCCAGTAGAGGGCATTCTACAAAATCTTGAGCCAGAACCAGTACTCCTCAAATTGTCAAGGTCAGTCTGACAAGGATCTGAGAAACTGTCACAGACAAGTAGAGCTGAAAACAAAATGAATAAATGTAATGTGGTATCCTAGGTGGAGTCTTAGATAAAAGTCATTAAGTTGAAACTAAGAAAAACTGCATAAATGATGGACTCTGGTTAATAATAATGTGCCAATATTGTTTCATTAATTGTGACAATGTACCATGTTATGTGATATTAAAATAGAATAAATTGTGTGATAAGAATTCTCTATACCAGGTCCTATTTTTTCTCTCCAACAAAAAAAATGCACACTTCTCACTTGCAAAAAATCTTTGGGCTTGTCTTTGGGATTCCATATCACTATATATTCAAACAATAAGTTCATGGTCATATTGTAACTAACGTTTGGTTCTTACATAGATTTCATACTATCTAAACTTGTCTCTGTGATATTGGAAGATGGCTTTTAGTCAAATAATTCTATTGACTGGAATATTATAGATTGATGGGTTAGTTCTCTAAAATGCTTATTTTAGTAGTCTTGTGAGGGTACCATATAAATTTTTGTTGTAATTATTTGCTAAGGCTGATCTTTTATCTTGACAAAGCTACAGATTATTAGTTTAAGCTTTAAGAGAAAGTACTACAGAATATCTATAGAATTATCAATTCAAAAATAACCTTACCACTTCTATTAATAGAAAAAAGAAACAAATAACAAATATTATTGCTCTTTCAGTAGCATAGACATATCTTTTAATTGAGCTTGTTTTTATTTCATGATAATATAAAGCAGGATACTCAAATTGATTTATTTGCACATATTTTTTGAAATAATTATTTCATGGGCACTAAAGTTATTTCTGGAAACTAAAAGATATGTTGAATAGTAAGTTATGGCCTTTGATAAATATATTTTAATTTACTTTTTAATCCTATGATACAGTACTAATTTAATATGATTAAATTTTACCACTTAAAAGAGGACTATTTCTTGGTTTGAATGTAGATATTAATTGTGCTGACTTGTATATGTTTCTCTTTTTTTCCCCCTTTAGGCTATACTTTGGAGATATAAATTTTCTCAGCTTAAAGGTTCTTCAGATGATGGCAAGAGCAAAATCAAATTTTTGTTTCAGAATCCAGATACTAAGCAGATTGAAGCAAAGGTAAATACAAATTCATCATATAAACCATCATCATATAAGCTGACTGTATTAATGCCATTAGGATGCCAGGGGAGAATATTTAGGAGAACCAAAAGAGCAAAAACCCACATTATCTATTTATTTTGGGACATCCCTCATGGCCAAAAGAATAAAATCACTTTGAGATTTTAGTGGCAAAATTTCACTGAAAGGCATAACTCAAAATAAGTTAGAGCTAACTGCATTTTCTTAATTTCTTACAAACTGCATTTGTGCCACACTAAAGTAACATTCTAGGAATCAAAATAGTTACTTTCTTTGTAGTTTCACATTTTAAATAATAATTTAAATAAAAAATTCTGATTATCTATTATCTATTCCCTCTTTGAATATGAATACAAATACCCAAAGAAAAGTAGTTTTAAAATTAATTCACATTTTCCTCATGTTATTATGTGTTAATAAAATGAATAAGTGAATGATTTCTTGCTTTGTGGTGCAAATTTTCAGTATTTTGAAATATATTAACTATGTTGTTTTAAACTCATCAGAATGATTCACTACATTTATTTTTATTAATACATATATTTGTATATATTCAGAATTTAAATTATTTCAATTACTCTACAAGAAAATTCACAATAATAATGTTTGGGGTAGAACAAGTTATAAATATATTATTCCAATGTGGAGGAAAGGATAAATAACAAACACTAAAGTGAAAAACTAATGCTATGGAAATGAAAACCCATATATAATTTTTCAACTATAGATTAAAATTAGCATAATTTTGTTACATTCCTGCACCTATTAAATTCAGGTGAGGAGGTCAGTCTGACAGTCAAAACCTTCCAAAGAATGACCCTCTCTGACATCTTAGTGCACATCTCCTGTAACACTGCTCTATACCCACATCAGGTCCTCTCATTCTTATTTTAACAATAACTTCTTTCTTACCTTATATATCTGCTCATTCTTGTCCCTTAACTTTTCTCTGTGGCTTTTTGTTTGAATTTCTCTGTGGTTACTCTGTCTCTGTCTTATATTTATCTTTGGAGTCGCCTAACTACTCTGCCTAGTCTGTAGGTTATTTAAAGCAGAAACTGTGGATACAGCCCCTTTCTGCTGGCTCTTTTCCTGCTACATTTCTCTAAAGCATTGGTGTTACACATGGTCTTGCCTTATATTTGTCTCCTGTCGGTTTAGGCAAATACCATCAAAACTTTACCCACTCCTTTTATTTAAAATTGCTGCATAATTTTCAATTCTATGTTTCCATCATTGCCTCTTCCCTAAATATAGATGTATCTATGGAGCTGCCTTCTTCCCATCCCTTGCTACAGCTCCTCCTCTTTTCCCCTCTGACTAGGATTGGTCAATCATTTCCTTTGTGCCAGACACTCACACTGCTCTTTAAATCAATTCTTAGTATTACCATCAAAAAATGCATTAGCGGAAATACAAATCAAAACCACAATGAAATATCACCTCACACCAGTCAGAATGGCTAAAATTAACAAGTCAGGAAATGACAGATGCTGGCGAGGATGTGGAGAAAGGGGAACCCTCCTACATACACTATTCGTGGGAATGCAAGCTGGTGTAACCACTCTGGAAAACAGCATGGAGGTTCCTCAAAATGTTGAAAATAGAACTACTCTCTGACCCAGCAATTGCACTACTGGGTATTTACCCTAAAGATACAAATGTAGTGATCCAGAGGGGCACGTGCACCCGAATGTTTATAGCAGCAATGCCTACAATAGCCAAACTATGGAAAGAACCTAGATGTCCATCAACAGATGAATGGATAAAGAAGATGTGGTATATATACACAATGGAATACTATGCAGCCATCAAAAGAAATGAAATCTTGCCATTTGCGATGATGTGGATGGAACTAGAGGGTATCATGCTTAGCGAAATAAGTCAATCGGAGAAAGACAACTATCATATGATCTCCCTGATATGAGGAAGTGGAGATGCAACATGGGGGGTTAAGGGGGTAGGAGAAGAATAAATGAAACAAGATGGGATTGGGAGGGAGACAAACCATAAGTGACTCTTAATCTCCCAAAACAAACTGAGGGTTGCTGGGGGGAGGGGGGTTGGGAGAAGCGGGGTCGGGTTATGGACATTGGGGAGGGTATGTGCTATGGTGAGTGCTGTGAAGTGTATAAACCTGGCGATTCATAGACCTGTACCCCTGGGGATAAAAATATATTATATGTTTATAAAAAATAAAAATAAATTAATATAAAAATGCATCACCATATTCTAATAATGGTGAACGATGTTAATATTTTCAGTTCCATATTCTGGCTAATATGGAAACTCAACCACTAGCTATTGATAGCAGTATAACATTTGATATATCACTTCTCTTCTCATTTTTTTAAGTGCTAATAAATCATAGTTGACAACAAAATCAGTTGAAACAAAAAGAGAAACTCAAAGCAATGACTAACTATAATGTTTGTACTTTAGTTCTATGTAGCATATGTTGTTTATACAGCTAATTATACTTACTTAACTTTATTACCCCACAGCTTCTAAATATTACTCATTCTTCTTATAGTGTTTTAGGCAATATTTAATAAATTCATTCATTAAGAGCTAGTTTCAGAAAATTCATTGAATGGCTTTCTTAAACTTTTAGATCATAAATTTTGGATAGGAGAAAGACAAAAATAACAAAATATGACCATTGGTGAATTATATAACCATAACGTGTGTGTGTGTGTGTGTGTGTGTGTGTATGTGTGTGTGTGTGTATCATATATATAATATATATATAACCATAATGTGTGTGTGTGTATATATAGAATGTGTGTGTATGTGTATATATATACACATACACACACATATAAAATATATAAATTATATAACTATAACTTCTTTAAAGACACCACCTCCTTCTATAGAAAGAAGGATAATAATACCTCTAAGGGTAACATTGAAAATACCAAGTTAAATATGGAGACTAACACAGATGAAACCAACTAATCGGCTCTATAGGATTGTTTGGCCTTACTGGTATGTATCCTCTCTGCTGACATAAAAATTGTTTAAGATTTAAAACTAGGGGCACCTGGGTGGCTCAGTGGGTTAAAGCCTCTGCCTTCAGCTCAGGTCATGATCCCAGGGTCCTGGGATCGAGTCCTGTATCGGGCTCTCTGCTCAGCAGGGAGCCTGCTTCCTCCTCTTTCTCTGCCTGCTTCTCTGCCTACTTGTGATCTCTGTCTGTCAAATAAATAAGTTAATAAATCTTTTAAAAAAATTAAAAAAAAGAATTAAAACTACAATTGTTATTTATAATTGTAACTTGTGAATAATAATAAAAAGTACCATCACAGGAGAACATCAAGGAGAATGCTGGCATGTGTCACATTATTGGACTTATTGGACTTATGTATCATAAGGATGGCTTATGATTGAAATTGATGTCATTTGAGGATTCAAGATTTCCTCTGTTAGAATATATTTTTTTAAATTAAGGGAATAGGCAACATGATACAGTGGAAAGAAAATTAGAATCAAGTAGCCTTGAGTTAAAAATCTCCTTTTTACCATTTTCTATCTGTACTACCTAGAGCAATCTATCACCAAATTACAAGTTGCTACTCTTCAAGGAAAGTATAGAAATAAATATCCCCAGGGCTTGGCACGTAGAAGACAGTAAAAACAAAAAACAAAACCAAAAAAAAAATCAAAAACAAAAACACGGATGAATGATTTTATCATTGAAGGATCTAGCATAATGACTAAGGAAATATCCAAAAATAACAGCTTTTATTATTAAGAGAGAAGTTAGTAGAGGTGATTAACGTGTCCTTTCCACATTTAAAAATTCAAGTTTATAACCATACCCAACTTTGCGTCTTTATTAAATGCCTGGGGTATTTTCTGTATCTTATTAATTTTATTAATTTTTAAAATTTCAGTGTAGAAAATTTGCCCTGGGTCCCTGTCTCCAAAACAGGGACAGAAACATCTCTGTATATTGTATAACTCTTCTAAATTTATGTATATCATAACATTGGTAACCATCCTGGATGGAAATTGTTCACTAGCATGCTTCCTCCACTGGATCAAGAACTTTTAAACACAAAGAATATATCTTGTAACATCATATCCCTAAGGCCTGCCCTGATGCTTGCCTGGGAGCAAGAAATAATAATTTCTTAAATTACACTAGATCATTATTTTACAGTTGAGGATGGTAAGCACTTTTCTCAACATTTTATTATGAAAAATTTCAAGCATACAGCATACTTTAAATAATTTATAGTAAAGGCCCTCTACACACTAAATTCTATGATTAACATTTCACTGTACTTCTTTATCATATATCTGTGTACCCATCCCTTTATCTGTCCATTAATCCATCGTATTTTGACACATTTTGAAGTAAATCACAGACATCAGCATTATATTAAGCAGTTTTGAAAATGTATTTGTGGAATATTGTCTTTGTCCCTCTAATTTCAAATTCCTCACCCATTGTTTTATTGGACAATTCCTCAATTTTAGTTGTCTTTGATAGTTAACAACTGTATACTTTAAATTGCATAATCTAAATAACAAAAATAAATAAATGAATAAATAAAACTCTACCAGAAAATAATTTTAGTAAACAACAAAAATACCCAGCAAGTTAAAGCATTATATTTTAGGGGTGCCTGAGTGACTCAGTTGTTAAGCAGCTGGCTTTGGCTTGAGTCATGATCCCAGGGTCCTGGGGTCGAGCCCCACATTGAGCCCCACATCGAGCCCCACATTGGACTCCCTGCTCTGTGGGAAGCCTGCTTCTCCTTCTCCCACTCCCCCTGTTTGTGTTCCCTCTCTTACTGTGTCAAATAAATAAAAAAATCTTTAAAAAAAGCATTATATTTTAGTCCATGGATTTTTTAAAAATTTCATTTACAAAAGTAAGTTGTACATACACAATTTTTGACAGAAGAAATGAGAAACAGTTTCAAAAATAATCAATGACATAAAATTCCACATTACTTGAAGAA